CTAATGAAAATTGCAATGATATTGGCCAGATAAATAATGAAAATTGCAATGATATTGACCAAGTAGCTAATGAAATTTCCAATGATATCACCCAGGTTTCTAATGAAAATGGCAATGATATTGACCAAGTAGCTAATGAAATTTCCAATGATATCGCCCAGGTATCTAATGAAAATCACAATGATATCGGCCAGATAACTAATGAAAATCGTAAATGATATCGCCCATGTAGCTATTGAAATTTCCAATAATATCGCCCAGGTATGTAATGAAAATCACAATGATATTGGCCAAGTAGCTAATGAAAATTGCCTAATGAAAAGGCATGGTAACTGGAATGATTCCTATCATAAAGACTGTGGACTTATACACAGGGAGCCCTAGGCAGTTACCTTATTTTTATGATAAAGGTGGTACTCACTAGTGTGTGTCCACCATCCTCATCCTCATCAACTCCATCATCTCCATAAGTATCTTTCTCAAGACTTGCCAGGGCTGGCATGTCGTCATTGACCTCATCAGCCTGACCACTGCTTCTAGTTGGAGGAGGATCTCGGATAAGGGCTGGCATGTCCGAGTCATCGTCGACATCATCAGCCTGACCACTGCTTCCTGCGCTAGTTGGAGGAGGATCAAACTTGTCATCCCTGTTTCCCACGCTAGTTGGAGGAGGATCAAACTTGTCAAACTTGTCATCCCTGTTTCCCTTTAGGACATCTTCCAACAGATCAAACCACTCCTTGTTTGTGTGCGGATTAACTGCCCATCCCCATTTTTCATCGAGATTGTGAGTCCAATAGGTGCTGAGCCGATCAGAGTGCTTACTGATGAAACAGCTAGTCCAGTTTTTGCCTACTCCGGAAGCGGGAAACTTCCTTCCTAGCCGTGCACAGCAAATGCTGTCAACATGGTCCTTGAGCTGTCTGTGGCTGAGTGGGAATCCACGAGAAGCAACCTCGATGGCATAATCAATGACCATTGTCGCCTCCCACTCGAGCAACCAAGACTTCTGAAAATTCCAGATGCTTTTCAGGGTTCCACCCTTGACCAGCCTCCGCAAGGTACAGGGATCGAGCTTGACTGTCCTCTTGGTTTCCGACCAGTGCTCATCCTCGATCTTTTTGCAGACTTTACGCAGACTGAGGGGCTTTCGGTTGACTGCCGTTTCCTGTTCGTGTCGATAGAGGGCTACTGCACAGATGAGGAGGCCATCCTTGGTACCCCTGTCTCATTGGAGTTTCTGAGCATCGGATAGAGGTCGGCCAGTCATTTTCAGATGGGTTAACCAATATGAAACTTTTTTTTCGCTTGTCTGGCCCAGTTTGAGTGTGACCCAGAGCTTGTCACAAAAGATAACACCTCTCAACGTCGTTTCCCCTCTTTTGCACTCTTAGAGGCTTTATAGAACCCTACCTCCTTAGATAAAATGCTATAAGTGTTCCTTTCACTGTGCTTTACCCATGTACCACAAAAATGTAGATATTACTTGGCCATGTCATTGCTACATTAGGTTATAGAATTCATCAATCTTCATGAAAACCAATAAATGGAGCTTTCAAAATGCCGAGGGTCTTATGGTACCCCAACAAAATCAGAAATGTATTCATCCAGCCTATTACTATGTGCTTGAATATACTCAAATTGTTTCGAGCAAAACTGAAGCAACAAGAGTGTTTTGTGTCAATGACCCAGCTGTGTCATTGACCCATTGATGACTGTACCTCACAAACTGTAGCATAAACTATTTGGCCTGTAGTCGAGATGAAACATATATTATATTATCATGAGTTCTCCTCCGTTCCTTGCGATTTTAGGCTTGTTAGAAACGCACAAATTAGAGCTTTAGAACGGGTCTGAGAGCCCCTAATATTTCGATGTTTAAGGTGACCTCCGATAACATTTACCATTTTTGGGCAGATTCTTCGCCAGTAATTGGTTCATAGCCCTGCGAGTTCTGCACCAAATGCTACGTATATAGACGCGTTGGAAACAGCGTAAACGCTGCGTCTTAGCGCAAAAAAGAACGCACAAAACGGATATGTTTTGCAAAAGATACCTTATCTTCTTTGTTGTTGCAATTTTTGTAGGTCATTCAATCTCTGGACAGTGGTGCACTTTCTTCTTGTTCCAGTCTTATCTTGATCATACATGATCCATATACAATAATGAATGTTCTTTCTAATGAAATCTAGTATACTTGTAGTGTCAGGTTATCTCAGGACAGTTCAGGTTGCCCTCAAGTTGTCTCAGGACATCCTGTGATGCCTTGTGACACCCTGGGAAAAAGCTTACAAACATGTTTGTCCCAGGAAAAAAGTGATTTTCCTGATGATCTTTCCTTTACAATTAGGCTTTGGCTCTATTTACGACCTGAGATCTTTGGCAATCTGGCATTTTGTAGGTATGTACATTTGGTACATGAGCAAAGTTAAGACTGAATCATTTTGGGAAAATCCCCCATAATCTTCCAGATTCTCAGCTTTCCGTCAACCTCAGAATTAAGGGACCTAGCTATGATCTCTAACAATCTTTGACAATTGTTAGGAACCCAGGAACCGCCAAGCTGATCATGGATCTGGTGAGGGCATCTCAGCACTGTGATTGTTTTCAATGTGATCTCTTGACTTTCACCTATCTGCCACAATCATGTCAGAGCAACTCAAGAATATTTGGGCAGCTTATCTTGTTCTGCTGGATCGTGTTCACCTTGCCTTGAGGACTCAGCTTGGTGATGTTGCCCAACTCTCTCAACAACGTGATGAGGCACTTCGCTTGCTTGAAGCAGCTGAACAAGTACGTCTTTTCAAGTTCTCACACATCTGCAAAATGCCTAACACTCGTGTGATAAGAGCTTCAGGACCATTTCCCCCCTGCTGAGTTCAGCATACTCCAACAAAGTATTGCAGCTATAGTCAACTCATTGGATCAAGCTCGCCGCGAATCAGCTGACCCACCAGACGAGCCACAGCTTGTTGTCGTTACTCAGAAGAGTGGTGGGCGACCAGGTCGTCCTCGTGTGGAGATAGATCCCACCTTTCTGAGGGAAGCATTGGCGCTCTGTGGGCCCTCAGGTCTCAAGCCAATTTTCAATTGTGATGCTCGGACAGTGCGACAGAGGGCACTTGAATACGGTATCGCAACTCCAGGAACTCCTGTTTTTGTTCCCCAGATGCAGCCTGATGGTGTTATCAATGCTGTGCGATCAACATCAACTTGTGGGATCTCAGCTCTCACCAATGACAAGCTTGACACACTTTTGTCCAGCATTCTGGAGATCTTTCCAACCTTTGGCCAACGCATGATTGCAGGTCGTCTCAAGGCTAGTGGTCATCATGTCCCCCGGGAGCGCATCACAGAATCATTTCTTTGGGTACATGGAACACCTGGAGTGTTTGGGCAGCGCACAATTCATCGTAAGATTTATAAAGTGGCAGGTGCCAACTCTCTGGCATCACGATGGTCAGCATGGTCAGGCTCAGAATACATTAAGATTTGCAGCCCTCTGCTGATAGTCGTTTCTAGGTCTTATCCGATTTGGTATTGTCAAGCATGCCTTTGTTGATGGAAAGTCGCGCCTTGTTGCTCGGCCTTGTATCAACAACAACAATCAAGCTGAAACTGTCCTTATAACATTCCATGAAGCCTGAGCCCAGCATGGGACGCCTAGCCGTGTGCATGGTGACCATGGGACAGAGAATATAAAAGTTGCTGAGTGGATGGAGGAGAACAGAAGATCTGGGCAGGGCTTGTATATCTGGGGCAGGTGAGTTACCTATTGAGAGTCTTATTGGAGCCATCTGAGAAAATTGACAGGAGTGTGCACAACACTCGCATAGAGCGCATGTGGTACGACATCACCCACAGCTTCGGGATGAAGTGGAAGAACTTTTTCTTAGATCTTGAAGTCAACCACAGGCTCAATCCACAGTCATCTGACGACAGGTGGCTCCTCCATCACCTCTTTCTTCACTGCATTCAAGAAGATGCGGATGAGTGGACTTTGGCTTGGAATTCACACAAGCTCCAAATCAGAGGGGAGCATGAACGCAGTCCCCGAGACATGTTTCTTTTCAGCATGATACAAGATGGTCCCTGTGGAATTTTACCACTTCCAGAATCCCTGGAGGAGGATGTTGAGGATCCCTCAATGTATGGCATTGACTCGGAGGTTGCCAATGATCCCACATTGATGAATCATCTATTGACGGAAAATCCACAAGACTGGGTTGAGGAGAATCCCTTCATTGCGAGTACTGGTCCACCAACTTTCTCACATGTTCCATGTGAATCACCCAACTGTCCTCTTTCTCCAGAACAGGTGAACATGTTGGACACTATGCTAGCGATGCGAGTAAATATTCACTCAAGAAGTATGGAGATACGACGCCTTGTTTGGCTTGAGGCTGCCAATATATGCAGACATTTTCTCGCCCACACAGAACAACCTTTCCTACCTACTGCTTAATAACACTAAGGAAGTCATCAGCTACCTTTATTTATATATTCTTTCGTATAGCAAGATGTTAAATCAAAATTGTATTGATCTGTAAAAATCATCCTCTCCTCCTAAACATAACTACGCTAACAATACTGATCGGAAAAAGAGTCTACTGAATTTTCTGTATTGAATTGTCAATAAACTGCTGTCAGAATTATAAAAATTAAATGCATACCATAATTGTTGTGATGGTCTTCTTCAACTCCTCTGGATCTGATGAAAAGGGAAAAGGAAAAGCCAGTTGATCTGTCTTATTCTTTCCTGAGATCCAATGTTCTTCTGGTAGGTCAATTGATGCGGCCATTTTATCCAGGCTACATACTTTTCCCTCTACAAGGCGCGACTCCCACCATACCACTTTGCAGAGAAGATGCTCAACAAAAATGGGACTGAATCCGAGAATTTTCTTGTCGTCCTCTGTAAGGAATTGGTGAAGATGGTTGTAAATGATCATGTATGCAGACCGAACAGATCCAAGGTCAGGGCAGATGAAACCCAAGTGCTGAAGACCTCTGTACGCCCCCAGTGTTCCATGATCAAATATCCAGTCTGCGACCTCTACAGATGCTGGCATCTTTGCCAACCCCAGAAATACTAGACTGTTTACCAGTTGGAAGACTGTAAGCCCAGTTTTGAATCCCAGCAAGTTGAGAGCAGTCATCATACCCATGGCGCTTGTCCAAGACTTGTGATCACCTTGGTGCATGGCCAGATCCTTGTTGACAAGATCACCCAGCCATGCAACCCAAGTGGTCTGCACTTCCTCTGCAAAATACAGCCCANACTTATCCTCAAGTGTGTAAGTTATACCATACACATTCGTTGGCGTGATGTTAAGATAATTGCTCGGCTGGCCCCAGATTGTATCATCATAAACAGGGACTTTTCCTCTCTTATCA